GAGAGAATTTTTTTTAATATTTATTTTTTTGTTTTCGGTGGACACAACATCTTTATTTTATTTTTATGTGGTGCTGAGCATCGAACCCAGTGCCCCGCGCCTCTACCGCTTGAGCCACATCCCCAGCCCCTGGTCAGGATCTCTTGCCTGGTGCTTCTGCCCATAGCTCCTGTCCTGCACACCAGGTGGCTACACCTGCATCTGCTTCCCACATCTGCTGCAGTGTGGGAAGTAGAACACACGTGGAATCAGGTACCCCGACACTGAACAGTGGATACAGCTTTGCTGTGGTCCATGTAGAGCTTGTATCTTTCATGCCAGTGCTACGGAAATTGGGGGCAGATTAATCAAGGTGCATCACTGACAGGAATTCACATACCTTATACATCTTGAAAAAGTAAAAATATCCTGTTCCTTTAAAAAGGATGATCCTAAGTAAAGTTAATCTGGAAATAAATTATGGAACTCGTGGATGTAAACATAAGCAAGAGGAGGTGTCACTGGGATCAGATCCTCAAGTGGTATTTCGTTTGTAAAAACTTTGTGAAATGTATTTTCCACACACATCTGTGAGCTGTTCATAACTATGTTTTTAGTGATTTAAAGTCATGTCTGAGTGGAATTATCCAATGTGTCCCTGAGCAGCGTAGGCATGGACGTCCATGTGTCCAGACGTGGCCTGGCCTTGCTCCTGTTGGCTTTCTCATTCAGGAGGTGGTCCTCTTGTGTATCACTATGGTAATGTGTGAAACCAAGGCCGTCTCCTGTGGTAGTTGTTGGAGGTAGGTTCTTAGGAGTCGTTTTCCTGTGGGGCTTCCTGAGGACAGGGCGTGCCAGCCAGCCTGGTAGCACACACTGCTCCTACAGGGGGTGTTCAGGCTTCCTTGGTTGCCGTCTCTGACCTCGGTTTGGCAGAGGTGCCCCACTCAGCCAGGGGCCAGCCATTGTACCCGGATCCCTGTTTAACCAGAACAGTGGTTTCTGACCAAGACTGAGAACCTGAGATGACCACCAGTTGGGGATCCCCGATATCCTTTGATTCTCTCCCTCTGCCAGCATCTGCGAGTCCAGGGAGAGCCGACAGGACTGTTCAGGGAAAGAACACTAGGCTTGGCTCCTGGCCGATTCCTTGTGGTGTGGCGTAGCCATGCTGGGAGTCTTGCTCTTGGTTCTGCAGGTCAGGACTGGCGCTGTGATTAGGGGGCCTCTGGGCTCTCCCACCCTGCTCACCCATGCCTTTGAATTCCAGTCTGTCATCCTCCCCGTCCACAATGCGGAGCTGTGGCTGGATGCATGTTTGGAGTCTGTGCTGCAGCAGGACTTCCAAGGCACCATGGAGCTCTCTGTGTTCAATGATGCCAGTAAGGTACCTGTGGGCGTTCTCGTGGGTGACAGCCCCGTACAGTTCATGCTGGACTGTTTCCAGGGAGGTTTCCTGACCTACCAATGTCCCACTTCCAGGATAAGTCTATGGCTATAATTGAAAAGTGGAGACCCAAGCTGGAGGACTCAGGCATCCTGGTGGTCATTGGAGGCCACGAGTCTCCTTCTCCCCGAGGAGGTGAGTAAGTGATTCGTGATTCCTTGTCACCTCCAGAGTGCAGTGAGTTCCATGTTGTTCAGATGCTGGTGGTGGTCAGTTCTGCTGCCTGTCCAGGGCCAGCTGGACCTCAGTGTCTTATTTGCCATGGTCTGCGTGTTGGTGCCCACTCCCCAATCAGTGCACCCCAGACTCACCCCTTGTGATGTGTTAGGAGATGGGGCCATTCAGAGGCACTGAGGCATGGGGGTGGAGTCTCAAGAGCCTGGTGATGGAGGCCAGAGAGTCCTTTGCCTCTCAGGAGCACCCCAGAAAGCAGGGAGGCAGCCCTGACCAACAGCGCCTCCGCGGTGCCTCAGGGACTCTGGGAAGTAAGCTCTGGGGGCCACTTGGCACGTGGTGCTCTGCCTGCGGCCTCCTCTGTCCCCACGGACTGCCCATGCACCGGCCTGGCACCAAGCCAGTCAAAAGGGCCTGGGGCTCCTGCTCCTGGCCCCTTTTTCAGTGCTTGCCACTGAGTGTTGGCGCTCCCCCTTTTACTGGAAGTCGTAGACAGGCCACATGTGCTTATCCCGTCAGTGATGGGGGCGCTGGCTCCCGGGAGTGGGCTAGCAGGAACATCCAGGTGCAGGTTTTACTTGAGCACTGGTTTTTAAGTCCTTTGGGCGTATGCCTTCGAGTAGAACTGCCAGCGGCCTGATTCACAGGCCACCATGCTGTTCCTGCAGCAGCTGCACCGCTCACCTCCCGGGGCACCAAGTCCCCTTGTCTGTGGTGGTTGTCATCATCGTCATCACAGTCGTCATCCTGGTGGGTACAGAGCTTCTCGTGGTTTTGATTTGCATTTGCCCGGTGACTGAGCATCTTTTCATGTCCCTGTTGACCATTTGTATATCTTTAAAGAAATGTCTTTTAAGTCTTTGCCCATTTTTAAATTGGGTTGTTTGACTTTTATTGTTTGATTGTAGGAGCTCTTTAAATGTTTTAGATACTAAAGCTTTATTAGATATGTAATTTGCACACATTTTCTCCCATTCTTATTTTTTTTTTTTACTTTTTGTGATAATTATCTTTTTTAAAAAAATTTTTTTAGTTGTAAATGAACACAATACCTTTATTTTTATTTACTTATTTTTGTGTGGTGCTGAGGATCAAACTCAGTACCTCACACAGCCAGGCAAGTGCTCTACCACTGAGCCACAACTCCAGCCCCGTGATAATTATCTTTTGATATATAAAAATTTCTACTTTTCATGAAATCCAGGGTATCTGTTTTTTCTTTTGTGGCATGTGCTTTTGGAGTTATATCTAAAAAAACATTCATTGTCAAATAAAAGTCATGAAGATTTACCCTATCTTCTTCGAAGAGCTTTATATTTCTAGCTCTTTTATGGGTCTTTGATCCATTTTGAATTTTATAAACGGTAGGAGGTACAGCCAAAGCAATCCTTAGCAAGAAGAGTGAATCAGGAGGCATCACAATACCAGACCTTATTAAACTATACTACAGAGCCATAGTTAAAAAAAAATGGCATGGTATTAGCACCAAAACAGACACATAGACCAGGGTACAGAATATAAGACAACAGAAACAAACCACATAAATACAGTTATCTCATACCAGACAAAGGTGCCAAAATCATTCAATGGAGAAAAGGTAGCCTATTCAACAAATGATGCTGGGAATATTGGAAACCACATGTAACAAAATGATATTAAACCCCTATCTCTCTCGCTTTGCACAAAACTCAAGTCAAAGTGGACCAAAGACTTGGAAACTATGGGGCTGGGATTGTGGCTCAGTGGTAGAGCACTTGCCTGGCATGTGTGAGGCCTGGGTTCAAATCTCAGCACCACACATAAATGAATGAATGAATGAATTAAAGGTCCATCAACAACTAAAAAATTTTTTTTTCAAAAAAGACTTAAGGACTAGAACAGAGACCCTGCGCCTAATATAAGAAAAAGTAGGGGCTGGGGATGTGGCTCAAGCAGTAGCGTGCTCGGCTAGCATGCATGAGGCACTGGATTCAATTCTCAGCACCACATAAAAATAAAATAAAGTTATTGTGTCCACCTAAAAAACCATATATATATATGGTTATTTATTTATTTTAAAAAGGTACTTCCTTTATTAAAGAAAAAGAAAAAGTAGGCCCAAATCTTTATCCTGTCAGCTTAGGACCTGACTTCAAGACTCCTAAAGTACAAGAAGCAAAATCAAGAATCAATAAGTAGCGTGGAATTAAACTAAAAAGCTGCTTCTCAGCAAAGGAAACCGTCAATAACATGAAGAGAAAGCCAACAGAGTGGGAAGATGTCTTTGTCACGTGCACCCCAGAGGGAGCACTGGTGGGACTCTACATCATGTACAGCCAGAAGGATGAGAAGTCGCACTCCGTCTGTGTATGACAGGTCTGAGTGCATTCACTGTTGGGTATAACTAGTTAGTACACATTTTTAAAAATGATAATAAATGGTAGAAGATGAGGGTCTAAATTCCTCTTTTGTCTGTAGTTAGTTGTTCCCACACCATTTGATTAAGAATTGGACTGTCCTTTTACTTTTCAAGAACAAATCAGTCAGGGCTAGGGACATAGCTCAGTTGGTAGAGTGCTTGCTTGTGTGCACAAGGCCCTGGGTTCAATCCTCGCACTACACACACACACACACACACACACACACCATGAACCAATCAATCACAGAGGTATGGGTTCCTCTCTGGACTGTGAATTTTATTCCGCTGGTCTGTGCGTCTGCTCTTCTGCTGTACCACAGTTTGAATTACCAGAGCTTTGGGATACTTTTTTGTAAATCATTTCTGAATTTTCCCATTTGGACTATTTGTTTTTAGTAGATAGAAGAACCAGGATTTTTTTTTTTTTGTGTGTGTGTGTGTTGATCTTGTATCCTAAAATTTTTCTAAACTTATTAGCTAATAGTTTTCTCCTCCTCCTCCTCCTCCTTCTTCTTGTGGGCTTTTAGAGTTTCATGTTTAGAGTTTTACTTCTTCCTTTCTGATTTGGATTTTTTCTTTCTTTTTCTTATTTAATTACTTTAGTTAAAGCTTCTAGAGAATGTTGAATAGCAGTGGTGAAAGTGGGCACCCTTGGACTGGGGATGTGGCTCAAGGGGTAGCGTGCTCGCCTGCGGGCCGCTGGGTTCGATCCTCAGCACCACATAAAAATAAAAAATAAAGACATTGTGTCCCCCTAAACCTAAAAAATAAATAGATAGATAGATAGATAGATAGATAGATAGATAGATAGATAAAGGAAGTGGGCACCCTTGTTATTATCCCGATCTTAGAGAAAACCTTTCATCCTTTCCCAGGTTGGGGGCGCTCAAACCCAGGGCCTCACATCTGCGCCTGAGCTGCACGCCAGCCCTGTCTTCCACTGTCAAATGTGATGTTCCCTGTGGGTTTTATAAATGAGGAAGGGAAAGTTCTTTTTTCTATTTTAGCCAGATTTTTTTAAAATCATGAAACAGGATTGGATTTGCCAGCGGCTTCTTCCGCTGTGTTTGTGGTGATCAGGTGGCCTCTGGCTCTGTGGAGATGACAGCTGGCCTGGGGGGCCTCCCTGTGGGTGGAGATGGGTGCTGGACTCGGTCTGCTAGTGCTTGTTGGGGACTGGGGCGTACACTGCCATTCCGGTTCCGCGGTGTGCGTGGCTTGCGCCTCAGTGCACACCCAGCCTGGAGGAGGAGCTCTCTCCTGGCCTTTCTCTCCGTCCTGGCACGGGTCAGTGCTCCTCCTCTGGGAAGCTCACCGGAAGCTGCTGTCCTAGGCTCCTCTTCAGGAGGACGTGGCCCCTGAGGCTCTGTCTTTGATAGTCTACTCAGGTGTCTGTGTCTCTGGGCCGAGAAATAAGAGATCTCTGAACTTGGCCCACCACCTCTGACGCCCGGCGTCTGACTCTTGCTTTCTCCTCCGTGTTGTCACTGTGTCCTTCTCCCCCAGGAGCCAGCCTTGTCCAGCTGGTCTCGCTTTGCGTCTTCACTGCGGTCTCTCCTGTCTTCGCCCTGCTGTCTGTTTCACATGCTCCTCTTTTCTGGGTTCCTTGAGGGGCCAGGCAGGGGGCCAAGACCCCTTCTGTGCAGCCTCTGCAGCCACCGACCACGCCGAGTGCTGCCGCGCTGTGCCCTGCCTGTCCCCCTGGCCTCGGGCACCTCTGATTTCCCAAGCGCTTTCCTCTTCCACCTGTGGGTTGTAAGAGTGGGTGCTTAGTGTTCACTGACTGCATTTTGTCTTCCTTCTGTGACTGAAATGGAGTTTCACTTTTCCGTGGTCAGAGAGACATTCTTATGTTTTTGGTTGATGGTTTTGTGTCCTGGCGCCAGGCATCCAGGAGGGTGCCCCCGTGCACCGAGGGGGTGTGCTCCTGCTCTGGGGCACAGCATGCACTGCTGCTGGTCTGCGGTGCTCTCTCTGGGACCTCTCTGGATGTCTGTCCCTCCTAAATTAAGAGGCACTGGGGACTGCAGCTGCTGGGGAAACTGTCCTTCTCCCTCGTCCTCTTCCCCCCATTCCTTGTGCTTGGTGGCCCCCTGTGGGAGGGTGGTTGATGATCTGTATCTCCTCGACGGACCTGTCAGTGCGTGAGGTCCTTCTGTCTAACGGTGACTCTGACCTGGTGCCTGTGCTGTCCGAGCGAGCGCCGCCACTCCGGCTCTCCTTTGTTACCTGCTGTGTCAGATGCCCTTCCTGACCACCCTTGCCTTTGGTGGTGGAGCTGCAGCCACTTGCTCTTGGCGGGGCGCCACGTGCTTGTGAAAGGAAGGCACTGCCGTCGGCCCTGTGCCTTCTGGGCTCTCACAGCGCTCGTCCCTCCAGCCTGTGTCGCCACCTCCTCTGCGGGCTTTGTTGTTTCGGGTGTGCCGTTTGATTCCCGTCCGTTTCCTTTCTGTGTGTTTGTGAGTTCCTCTCTTAGTGCTCGCGGTGGGGATCAGGGTAGGCGTCCTCCCACACACAGCCCCTCCTGGCCCGTACTCACCACCGCATCTTCGTGGGCGCCCACTGGGAGCGGTCTATACCTGGTCCCTTCAGCAGGTCTTGGTTCTCCTCTTCCTGCAGTATCTACTCACGTGCTGTTGTTTGTTTCTCTTTTTAAATTTTATTTTTATGTTTCTTTGTTACTCTGCAGGAGCCAATGCCTTGGATAATGTCCCGTGTCTGGAATGTGGCTGGCTGTGGCAGCCTTTTGAGTTGGCAGTTTGCCCGGGTCTAGAGTTCTACGGCAAAATCTCTTCCCTTAGAATGTTAAGGAATTCCTCATTATCTTCTAGTGTCCCATGTTCTGATAAGAAATCTCCTGCCAGTCCGACTCTGGTTATCTAGGTACCTTTTCCTGTAATGCTCTGGAATTCTGAGGTCTCGTGCTGTTGGGTCATTCCTGTCTGTTTTCACGGTCAGCCTTGTACCCTTAGCACGAGTAGATCAGAGTGCCCAGTTTCCCACAGACCTCGCTGCTTGGGCTTGAGCAGGTGGCCGTGGGCCGGTGAGGTCTGTCACGGTGGACAGGTTCCCTGGGTCAGAGCCACGTCTCTGTTGGAAGAAATGGTCCAGTGCTGGCTGCATGTTGGAGTCACCTGGAGCTTTAGGAACCAGTGCTGAGTGCTGTCCCCTTTGGGGTGCAGTCCTGCATGGAGATTTTAGAAACGTCCCAGGGGATTCTGAGGGACCACAGGGTCGAGAGCTGCTGTTCTAAAGTTCCGCCCTGGGCAAGGATTGGTCAGCACCGGGGGCGCCCACAGTGGTCAGTGATGTTTCTGCCGTTGTCATCGTCATTGTCTTCATCATCTTGTGTGGCTGGAAGACATTAATGTTTTCTGAAACTCACTTCTGTGTTCATAATCTTCACTTGGTTTGAAGTAAAGAACTCTTCAAACCCTGGCTGTGGACCAAAGCACGCAGAGCCAACTGCTTCTGAAACTGGTCACAGGTCCTCGATACCCTTGGCTGAGAGGCTGTGCATCTTCCCTTGCGAATGACAGCAAAGGTGGTGGCAAACCATGACGCTGCCTGTCTGGTCACCAGGCTCATTTGGCCTTCACGGAAGACCCCTCCCAGGCAGGCTGGGGGTGGGGACCGTGCGTGGGAGCCCGGGCACTGTTAGTGCAGTGTGCCTGCTAGCTTCTCACAGAAGCACTTCCCTGGATGTGTTCCACGCAGGGAAGGCTGGGTGGGCCGGGGGTGCTCAGGAGTGCTGTGGTTCACACAGGTGAAGATTCAGATCCGCACAGCCACACACCTCTCACTGCATGCCAGCTGCTGAGGCCCCCTGAAGCGGGACCCAGGCTCTTCTCCTGCAGAGGAGGTCAGACCTCCTTGTGAGGGCGCGACATGCAAGCACTTGGCTTTCTTGAGGTGGTACTGTGCAGGCGGGTTCCTGTCTCTCAGGTGTGCCTGCAGACCCCTTCCTGTTCCTCCCTGTCTCGAGCAGCTTTGGTCCAGGCGCTCTCCCTTGGTTTCAGCTCTTCCTGGGCCCGGTGGGTCCATGGAAGATGTCCATCACTGTGTGGGGGCATTCTCCACTGATGTCCTCACTGTGGGTTTCCAGCGCCGACCCGATTGGGGAACGCAGACTGTCCCTAGGTCCCTTGGAGTGTCAAGTACACTCAGCTTCATGCAGTTGGAAACTGAATTATTAGAACTTTTTCTCTTTCTTCCAACAGTTGGATATTCTAAAAATCAAGCAATTGCACAGAGCTCAGGGTCTTACCTTTGCTTCTTGGATTCAGTAAGTACCTCTTTGGTTGTGTTTATAATGAGTGTGTACATGTTGGTTGAGTAGTGATTGTACATTTTGGCTTGATTACTATTTTTTTTAAATTTTTTTAAGACATTGATGGACCTTTATTTTATTTCTATGTGGTGCTGAGGATCGAACCCAGTGCCTCACGCATGCTAGGCAAGCGCTCTACCACTGAGCCACAACCCCAGCCCTTGGCTTGGTTCTGGAAAACCATTTTTCTCTGTTATGATCAGACTTAAAGGTGAGTTGATGGGTTGTTGCGACTTCATTGCCAGAGCAAGTAGTGAATCAACCCTGATAGATGAAATAAAAGTGTAAAACTGCACCACAGAGAATACAAACCAAGTGGAGATAAAGTGGCACAATGCTGGTAGATGGGATACTTGAGATTACAAGCTGAATGGGAAGAGCCCACGGACGTTGGCAGAAAGATGGATGTAAACGCACAGCGATGGGTGGCCTGCAGAGGTCCAGGTCAGACAAATTAAATTAAAAACACATAAGTGTTTAATCACGTACAATTGAAGTTAGCGAGATGCTTTTGAAAACCAAATTAGAGACATGTTTTAAGCAGGCAGGTGTCAGTGGTGATAGTGCGCCTGGGCATTCTGTCAGGGACTTGAGAAAATGCTGAGGCCTGGGGCTCCTGGAGCTTGCTGCTCGTATCCCAGAAAAGGATCTCTGCACTAAGGCACATGAGGCTGTGTCCAACCAAAAACTAGAAAGAAGCAAATACGCAGTGGTAGAGAACCGGAGGCAGCACGAGACTGTTGCCTGTTGGGAGCACTCTGGACTGCAGCCTGGTGATGGTATGGGTGAGCAGATTGTGCCAGGGCACATTGGATCTGGATCTGCTTTTAGGCACAGCAGCATGAAGTTTTACCCTTGCTCTTCCCTGCCACCAGGCTCCTGCAGGGCGGATGAGGCTCCTGGTGCCCAGGGTCTGCTCTGGCGCAGCTGCACTAACTCACAAAGGAACATCTCGTCGTACGTTGCCTGGGCTCTGCCCTTCACGCTCACCCCTTCACGCTCACCTCGGTGCCAGTGGTGGTGCACGTGGAGTCTGTGAGCAGGCCAGGTGGAACTGCGTGCTCCACAGCAGTGCTCCCAAAAGCAGAGGCTGGGCCTCCCCATGCTATGGGCTCACAGCCCCCAGCCTCAGCTCTGGCTTTCTTGCTCTTCTTTTATCTCAGATCCCAATGCCTCGGATCTCTCCCATGCCCTTCCATGCGCTGCAAGGAATCAGGGACATCCTCAAACGTCACTCAGCAAGGCAAATGACTGCAGAAGGGCTGCCTTTCGGGCTGTGGGTAGCCTCCCCGCCCCTGTGGTCTGCTGCAGGAACCCGGGGGTAGAGTAGGACCACAGTGTGTAAAGGGAGCCTCAGCATGAGGGAGCGTGGTCACCTCAGGCCTCCTGGGCCCATAGCTCAGGAGGGAGGAACCCTGAAGTTTCAGGGTGCTGGTGGGTTTGGGGAGCAGGCTGTCGGTGGAGCATGAAAGGGGCTCACGTGGAGGACAGTGGGGTGGCCCACTGGCAGTCTCTGTGACATGAGCCTCATTCTTGGAAGCCCATGGCGGGACCTGACAGGCTTGGCCAAGACCTCTCCCACAACGGGGAGGAGGGGGCATCCTGGACCTCCCCAGGCCTCCCAGGGCTCACAGCAGTCAGCACTGGACTGTGGGGTTGGTGAGGGAGGGGACCCGCCCGCTGGTGTGGGAGCACGTGTGCCACCTGGTGTGTGCTCTGCAGCGGGCTCTGGATGGGTGGTTCTCAGCCTGCATCCTCCGAGGACTCCTGGCCAGGTGATTCCCAGCTGGGCCTTGTGTGTGTGTGAAGGTGAGCCTCGCTGTTCACAGGCCGGTCCGCCCACTGCCCCCTCCCCTCTCTGTGCCCAGGCCATGGACCCCCAGGCTTCCTACAGGGAGAGCCTGGCTGGCAGCTGGGTCCTGGGGCCTGCAGCTCTGACTGGTGCTGCCCACTGGTGGCCCCTCTGAGTCTGCGCTTTCCTAACTCGGCGGCGTTTTCCTTCCCACCGTGGCTGTGGGAGTCGGGTCCACAGCAGGGCAAACCAGGGTTGGGGTTGGCTTAGCTCACGAGGCAGACGAGGCAGTGTTGGCCTGCTGGCGAGAGCCCTGGAGGCTGAAGGCCCAGCTCTTGGCTCCTGCTGGGCGGCCCTTGCATCCTAGGGGTCCTTGAATTCACCTTCCTCCATTTAAAATGAATATCCTCCCAAGGATGTTATTTTTGGTTTTCTTAGTGGACCTGTCTGTGCCTTTAACTGTGCCTGCGTGACCACATCTGGACCTGCGACCGCAGGTGGGAGAGCCGCTGCAGCAGGAGGCCACTCTCCACCCACACCAGCCTGCTGGCTTGGCGGGATTTGCACTTGGGTTCAGGGAGGGACGTGTGGCCATCCTGGTCCCGCCTCCTCCATGCGCCCTGGGTCGGAGTCGATGTGGGTGGCTCTAGAGAGTTGGCTCTGGGTGGACAGGGGCTGTGTTGAGCAGAGCACTGTGGATGGCCCAAGCGTCTTCCTTGATCTCTGAGCACGTGGTGAGCTGGGCCCCCAGCCAGACAGGGCCACACTCACTGATCCAGTGACCACGCCGCTTCCCGCAGGCACAGAGTTCCTCTGCTCAGCCCCCGGCCACTCTTGGGTGGTCAGGACTTTGGTTTTCCTGTGGGTTGTGTGTGGCTGCCTGTGAGGCTGCCCCTTCCCTGACTCCTGGTGCGTCTCCCTTTTCTCACTGCTTGTTGCAGGTGGTGGTGATCTTGAACTCAGAATGTGCTCTTCCCCCAGGACGACGTGATGATGCCTGAAAGAGTGAGGCTGCAACACGAGGCTGCCGCTCAGCACCCCACCAGCGTGAGTACTGCCCCCACAGGCAGCCCAGCCCGGAGGCACCCTCCCCCAGAGGGCTAGAGGAGCTGCGCCTTGTGTGGGGAGCTCTGGGGGCTAGGGTTGTGGCTCAGTGGTGGGGCACTTGCCCAGCACGTGTGAGGCGCCTCAGACAACCCACCTCCTCCTGCTCCAGCACCAGAGATAGATAGAGAGATAGATCAATTAATCAAAGACAGGTAGATAGAGAAATCAATCAATCAAAGACAGGTAGATAGATCAGTCAGTCAAAGATAGATAGATAGATCAGTCAGTCAGACAAACAAGAGGGTTTTGCAGTGCTGAGCTGAGACTCCAGCCTCATGTATGCTTGCAAGCCTCCACCAGTGAGCCTCAGCCCCAGCCAGGTGGTGGTTCTTACCTGCAAGTTAGAAATGTAGAGGCCACCAGAGGTCAGGCGGGCACTCAGCAGTCACGGGGCAAGGCGAAGGCCACCTCTGCAGAAGGGCTGCCCCCGACCAGCGTCTGGCCAGCAAGCCCACCTGGACGGCAGTCCTGCTCTTATCCCAGCACAGCACTGCCCTGCCCCCGCTCCGACAGAGGCGCTCGGGCCACCGTCTGCACCTCTGGCTAACGTCTAGAGGGCCAGCAGAGGGAAGGGCCCTAGTTAACCTGCTGCCCTTGGATTCAGGCTGAAAAGCTCAGAATGGCCACCACTGGATCTTAATCCCCAGTTTTCCACTGAAGACTAAACACGACATTCTGAAAACAAACTCTAGATTTTCTGTTGCTCCCATGCATGTCAGAAGCCAAGCTCCCACTAAACAGCACGTGAGCCTGAGCATCCGCAGCTCCCGTCCTCCCTGGGAGCCCACCCAAGCCGTCCTGCTGGGGACAGAGCCAGCTGTGTCTCATCCAGCCTGTCTCTAGCAGAGGCACAGTTGCCTTAGGCCCTGGGCCCCAGCTCACCTTCCCTACGGCACAGAGGGAGGCAGGGGGCACTGTCCCAGGAAACCCAGATTGGCAGTGGCCACGGCCTCCTGCTTTAGGACACAGTGCTGCCTGCTTTCCCAGGACAGACTGCTGCCTCCCTGGGGGAGGAGGGAGGGCAGCGTTGGACTCCGTGTCCATGTGCCTCAGGTCAACGTGTGCATCCTGGCGTCTGCCCTGCTCTCCTGTGTGCTCCACACTGTCCCCTCCAGTCTGGTCCCCCCAGGGCGCACCCACGTGGAGGGTCATCTGGTGGGCGGTCAGAGGCTCACAGAAGGGCCTCTCTGAGGTGGAACTGCTCGGCCTGGCAGCCCTCTGTGTCCAGCACGATTCCCGCCCCCCAGCTGGCATCCTGGGGGGAGCTTGAATTTGGCATCTTTTACTTCTGTCCCCTTCCTTGTCCCAGACCCAGGGGTCTCGGTGCCCGCTGGACACAGGCCTTGGGGTCTCCTGCCGTGGAACCAGTGGTTTAACCCTGGACCCCCAGCTGGATGCCAAGGATGCTTCCTCCCTGCACTGAAATTGCTCATGTGACTTGGACGTCAGTCACATGAGCACGTGCTCAGCTGTGCCAGTAGGAAGGCAGGAGATGCCCAGGCTGTGCCTGGAGAGGCCCCTCGGGATCCCACAGGTGCCCATGAGCAGCTCTCTGGCTCTCAAGGCCGGGCTGTCTGCCGGGGGCCCGAACCAGGCCAGCCCACAGCCCTCAGACCCCCACCCCACCCTGCCCTTCCTTGGCTGCTGCCTCTGGCCCTCTGCACCAGGGTTGAAGGGGAGCACCGAGGCACACAGGCAGCTGGTGGGGGTGTGAAGGCAGACAGGAAGACAGGCTGAGTATGGGTCATGCTTTCAGGAGCAGAGGTGCCATCTGGCTACCCCTGTCCTGGCATGCGGGGTCCCAGGCTTGGGCTTGAGGCCCTGGGATGAGGCCAGGGTCTTCTTTGGGCACATGTGACCAAGCTCTGCAAAGGGTCGTGGGCTGACAGAGCTCAGAACCACAGTGTGTGTGAGTGCTTGCGTCCCAGCAGTCGCTGACCAGACTGCAGTGTGGAACCTGTCATTCCTTCCCTCCAGCAGAGAGTGTCCAACAGCTCAGGCCGTGGGCACACACCATCCACACCTGCCCCAGGGCTTGCTGACCTTGGGCTTTGCCATGTGGCTCTGGGATCGCCACACGGTCTGCAGAAGAGTTTCTGGCGTCTCAGGCACACACCATGTTGGGGTCAGCTGCTCCATGGGAAGAGGAGCCTGTGGGAGCCAGGCCTGGGCGGGTCTTGGGGCCGTTCACATGAGGGGGCTGCAGAGGCTCCAGCGACTCTGCACCTGCAAGTCAGAGAAGGCACAGCAGCACCCTTGCCCAGCATCAGGCCACGCTCCCTGCCCAGGATACTGCTGGACAGAGCTCTCCACCAGTCTGGAAGCCACAGACCCTCCCCCCGGCACCAGGGTCCAGCCTTAAGCAAAATGCCATCTGTGGCCTGTGCATGGGTGACCACAGGTCCGGGAATGGCCGTTGCCAGCATCCAAAGCACATGGTGTCCAACAGCTTGTGAGGGTGGCTACCGAGTGTTGGTGTTTCCGGGACGAGAGGGCTTGGGTGTGTTCCCCCTCCTCCCCTCTACAGTTCTCAGTGGCCTGCCTGCAGAGGAACGGCGATCTTTGGGGATGCTCATGAACTTGGCAAAAACGCGACTGTCGAGGTCGGCTGACCATGAAGTCCCGGGTCGCGGCTTCTCTTGCTGAGCCTCTGGCAGGTTCTCTGGAGACCCACCCAAAGTGCGGGAGGGGACGTGCTGGCTGCCCGCTCCAGCCGTGGCATGTGCCACCCTTCCTCCCGGCCCTTCCGTGCTGTCAGTGGCTGCACTGCGTGAAGTCAGACTGGGAAAGGGTGGATGGAAGCCTGGGCCTGCAGGCCCAGAGGCTGCAACTGGTCCGCGGCTGTCCCCAACGTCGCCGTTGCTCCTGAAGGAACGAGCCTGTGCTGGCCTCGCACTCCCGCTGGGTCGTCACTTCAGGCTTGTGCCAGAGTGGGGATGTGGGATGGAGAGGCCCTGGAAGGGTGCCCGGCTGGCACCTGCTGTGGCTGCTGCAGATTCGGGGCCTCCCACGTGAGCGTTCAGGCAGAGCCCAGGTCGATCTGGGGGAGGAGGTGGCCTCAGGAGCCTTAGGCTAGTTCGGGGCCCGGCCTGCCAGAGGGCCTTCCTGAGGGGTCCCCTGCAGAGGCACAGACAGAGCTGCGGGATGTGGCACATGAGGAGCACAGAGGCCTCTACCGCTGCCCTGTGCATCTGCAGAAGGTCAGGCACCAGTTCCCCTGCCACTCCTCCTGCCCCGGCCTCCCGTCCAGAGCAGGTGAGGCTAGGACGATGGAGTGAAAAGTGGAGCACGGATGGAGAAGCCGCCTCCTGATGTCCTCGGTGCCTGGGGGACTGTTGACGGCTGAGGCGCCCTGTGTGGTGCAGAGCCGGCCTCTGGTGGAACGGCCGCGTCACCTGCTGGACGCACGCCGGGCTTCTGTGAGCCGTGCCAGATCACCCTGCTTGGCCCCTGCTGGTCCACTCAGGCCGCACCAGGGACTCTGTGGCCCCACTTGCCTGGGCCCAGGGCGCTGGCCCCACTCTTGACCAGGCCACGTGTCACCAGCAGGCTTACCTGGAGCCCCACATTCTCACAGCTCCCCGGGGCTCTCCTGATGCCTGGGTGGGTGTGTGCAGCGAGGGACCCGTGGGGTTGGGCTCTTCTGGGTGACAGGTGAGGAAGGCACCAAGGACCCCAGCAAACTTGCAGGTACTCCCAAGGCCGGCACAGAAACCCTGCAGCACTGCCATGCCCTCTCACCAGGCAGCTCCCCTAAGGAAAGGCAGAAAGTCCTTCGCTTTACACCCGCAGTTCAGGCAAGGTGACATCAGTATCAAAAGTACAGCATTTGGAGGGGCACAGTGGCCCTGTGATCCCAGCCACTTGGAGGCAGAGGCAGGGGGATACCAAGTTCCAGGCCAGCTGGGCAGCTTAGGAGACCCTGCATCCAATTAAAAGGCTGGGAGTGTAGCCCAGTAGTAGAGGACCCCGGTTCAACCCCTGTGCCTCCCCAGTACAGCGTCAGCTCGAGGGCTGGGCTCTGCTGCCCCCAACATGCCTACTTTCTCTGCAGCCAGAGGCAGGAGAAACTCTGCTCCTGCCGTGGGCCCCTAGAAACTGCCAGTGCTCTGCCTTAAAGCACGTGTCTGAGTGTGACCCTGGTGTCCCTGGGTGAAGGCATTTGTCTGTGTGCCGGCCGGACTGCCTGTCCCTCCACTAGGGTGGACCCTCGCAGTCGTGTCGATTGAAGGTGTGGGCTGAGGCAAGGCCAGAAGCCAAAGCACAGGGTGTGCGGGGGAGTCAGATCTGAGGCCAGGAGGCACAGGGTCTGCGAAGTTGGCAGGAGACGGAGAGGGGGGCACTTCAGGGCTGTGACAGGTGCTCTGAGATGGCAGTGCAGCTCAGGGGGAAGACTCCTGGGTGCTGTGGTCATGGGGCTGCTGTCGTGAGGCTGTGGCCACACTGGAAATGATCCTAGTTGGTCATCTTAATCTGAGCCTGCCCTCCCCTGGCCCAGGGACTTGCCCGCCTCCACCTGTCCTTGGCTGTGGAGGGGTCTGTAGGTGTGAGGCGCGCTCAGGGAGGACGCGCCCCACGCCTGGCTGCTCTTCTTTCAGATCATCGGGTGCCGTGTGAGGAGAGACCCCCCGGGTTCCACCGAGCGGTACACACGCTGGATCAACCGGCTGGCGCCCGAGCAGCTTCTGACACAGGTGACGGCTTGCTTGTCCTGGTCCAGGCTCTCCCTACAGGGACAGCCTCTTGGAGCCCCAGGGCCGTGTCCCGCCCAGGGCCAACTGGCCTGTCGTTGGGGTGTGGTTCTGTCTTCACTCTGTCCAAATGCAAACTGGACAGAGTGTGCTGACTGGACAGCCTCCAGTGGGGCCCACACCGACCCCATGGAGACCTGACAGCTCACACCAGGCAGGTTCCCACCTAGGACACTGACCGCGGGCTGCTCTGAGCCTCGAGTGGGTGTTCCAGAATCTCCTGTGTCCCCAATGTTTCTGGAATTCGATGAACATGCAGTGTGGACAGCAAGGACAGACCCCACAGATGGCAGGGTGGCTTCAGCGGTGGACGGGGCAGACGTGGTGCCAGGTGGAGGGTGGACGTGGCTGCATGGAGGTGCAGCACACAGTGCGGGTGTGATAGTGGATGTGTGGTCTGGGTCTGAGCAGCACCACAGCAGTGGTGGGCATTGTGGGATCCGTGCTTGTGGCCATTCTCTATGGGGGCCCTTGGCTACCCGCCCACGGCAGGCTGCCTTGTCAGGACAAGGCAGAAGCCCAGGGCAGGCATCTGCGTCAGGGTCCTGGCTGCAGTGTGTGTCCCTGGACTGTGTGGAGTGACATTTGCTCATGAGCATCCAGAACACTGCAGGCGGGGCTGCTCCCACGTGGAAGAACCCGGCCCTACCCGCCCTGGAGGGCCACCTTCCTGGTGCTGGCTGGCAGCCATAATAGTGGCACCGTCAGCTACAGCCACTGGCCTGCCTGGGCACAGGCTGGACAGAGAGGCCGCCATGCGGCTCCAGGTAGCCTCAGCAGACACCTGGCTGCTTGCCAGTGGGGCAGGGGACAGGTGGTCTCGGGGACACAGCCTCTAATGTTCCTAGTGTTGCTGGGCATCTTAGATCTCATCAAAGGAAGGAGGACACGCAGCACCCACCCACCAGTCCTCACACCCCACCTAGTCCTGGCTTCCGAGCTGCGCCCCCCCGCTCTGCCTTGCTGCGCTGCACAGCACCAGCCCAGATCCACACAGGGCACCTGGGAGACATGGCCCACGGCTCACCAGAGGAGAGGCCGCGGTTGCCCGGCGTCTCCTGGCTCTCTCCCCGTCTGCAGCTCGTGCTGCTTCTTTGGGTTTTCATTATTTATTATCACAGAAATTTGTGAAATAATTCCAAAGAAGAGAGTTTCGAAAACACCGTCCCACCTGTTTCAGCCCTTGCTATGCTGGGGCCTCTGTGGTCTGCACCCGGCTCCGGGTCATCTCCTTCTGGCCTGTGATGGACAAGGACTCGAATACTGAGAGGTCCAGGTGACTGCCGTGTCACCTGGTGCCCACACAGTGTTTCTCCTGTGCTTTTGTGAAGTCTTTCTTTCCTCATCTTCCTCTTTTTCTTTTTCTTTGTCATCTGCTAGCTTGATGGGATCAAAAGTCTGCCTGTTGCTGTTGCTATTCTCCTCGAACCGTGTTGAAGGTGTTGATGATCTGGCCACCAGAGCTGTTGACGTGGGTGGGAGTTGCCGGTCACACCTCCCTGGTCTCATTTAACACACTCCTCTGTCCTTGGGCTTCCTGTGGATTGAACAGAATCTAGAGAGTTTTCTCTTTTGCCTGTTCTCAGACAGGTTTTTGATGTGTACCTGGTGTCTAATATTTCACATGAAGAGTCTGACTGGCTGCGATTGTATATACCGACATCTACCATCTGTCCACCACCCCTTTTCCCAGGTCTACACAGCACCCCTTCAGCACTGAGCCTGCGCAGATCCACTTTCTGGCTATGAGCCCGCATCTGCAGGGCGGCACACGAACGGTCCCAGGCACGCTCCACGCCTGCCGTGAGGGGAGCCCTGGCCATGGCCGGCAGGGCCGCTTCTCTGCTTCCCCGTGTGGCTTGGTGGTCAGGGTGATGGCCGTTGCTCCCCGTCCCGCTGTGGGAGGGCACGGGAGCCACTCGGTTCTCACCTGTGCCTTCCGAGGGGTGCAGGCGTGCGTGGCCCTCCTGGGGAAAGCTCGGGCCCGGGGCTGAGTTCACGGGAGGCTCAGGCTTCACCCAGGTGCCTTCCAGGTGCTGCTGGCTCCTCTGCAGTGAAGGCACGCTGGCTCGCCCACACCCTGCCCCCTCCGTGAGGTCCCTGGTTTCCAGTTCCCTGAGTCTGATGGGCAGGTGGTGGCCTCTCACTGGCTGTAATTTTCATGTCTGCAATGACTAATGACCTTGACCATCTTTTCATGGGCTTTTTGATTCCAATATTTTTTTTGCTAAAGCATTCAAATCTTTGCCCATTATTTTATTGAGTTGTTTGCATGTTTAGTATTGAATTTCGAGAGTTGTTTATATATTCAGGATACAACTCCTGTATCAGACAAAAACTCTGCATGTGTTTTTCTGAGTCTGTGACTTGTCTTTCATACTTTTAACACTGTATTTCAAAGAGAAGTTCCCAATTTGGATGAAATCTGAGTTACCAGTATTCCTTTATGGATTTTGCTTTCGATATCATACTTCAGAAACCTTTGGCTAGTCAAGTTCACTAGCCCTGCTAGTAAGGCTTTCTCTTGTGTTTTCCTTTTAAAGCTGTGTAACTTCAGGCTTTATGTGTAGGTCTCTGTTCTTCCTTGGTTACTTTTGGCACGTGGTTGTGTTGCTGTCCTCTTCACTCTCGAGTGGCAGGCATCAGTGTGTGCCCACAGCCCGAGGGTCTGCTGGGGTTCTTCCCGGCATGCGACAGCCTCCTCGCTGTGTCCAGGCGTGGCAGAGGGAGAGTGAGCAGGGACCCTGTGCTAAGAGCCACACCACCATGACCCTCACGTCTGCTGAGCTCCCTCTCCAGACATTGGCCAGCTGGGATCAGGGCTCAGCAAGGACCCTGGAGGACACGGTTCAGTCCGTGCAGGTGGCTGGACCTCATGCTGTACGTGCAGAGCCCAGCGCAGCCTGGTTGCTCATGGGCGTGTGGTTTCTCTAGACTCGTGTGCTCTCTGTGACCTGGTCCCTTTGCACGTGGCTCTGGGATGATTCCTGGAGAGACTTCATCCTCCTCGTGGTTCTCTGGCCCATCTAGGTGTTGGCACTTACATACAGAATTCTAAATCAGCACATTTTCTACAAAGAGCAACAACAGAGAAACACCCAGCTGGATCCTGATTCATACCACCCGTGAGGGTCGACTCAGGAGGGCCACACTTGACAGCTGCACTGGCCTCCGCAGAAGAAGGTGCACAGCGGAGCTCCAGAAGGTTGGGCTCTGATTCCTTGGACGTGGCCACAAAGCACAGGCAAAAAAAGAAAAAAGAAGACGAGTTAGAGCACATGCGGACCATGTGCAGGACACTCAGCAGAGGAGGAGGCCTCGGGAAATCCTGGCCAGCTGTGTCTCTGGGAGGGGCTCGTGGCCGGGTATGTGAGGGACCCACAGCTTGGAGACCAGGTGAAGCCTCTGCGTGCTGCAGAGAAGACTGCGAGTGAGCACACAGGGCGCTCGGCCTCACTCACTAGAGGGATGAGGAAGTCGGCCAGACGAGCCCACTGCACCCTCGGGGACAGCTACTGCCAGCAGCCAGCTGGCCAGTGTGTGGCAACAGTTGGCGAGGTGTGAAGAACCGCACGCCGAACACTGCCGTGGGGGTGTCAGCGGCACAGCTGTACAGGAAACAGTGCACTGTTTCCCCAGAAGTCAAAACTAGAATCCCCACGTGACCCAGCAGTCTCCCTCCTGGGCGAACGCCCTCCAGAGACACAGGGACTGGCCAGGGGCACTCACGTCCCTGGTTCACAGCAGCCAGAGGTGGAGGAGCACCGACCGTGGCAGGTGGAGGGGTGAGCAGACTGCCGCCCGGGCCTGGCACCATCCCTCTGCATGACCACCGCTGGTGCACGTGGCTGGCACCTCAGAAAGAGGTGTGTCGAGTCCATGTTCCGGAGGCCGACGTGCGGAGAGGCTGGCGCTGCCTCTGGTGGAGCGCACATGTCAGAGAGAAGGCCTGAGAGCAGGAGGGTCGGGCCTGGGTCCCAGGGGAAGGCCCCAGCCCTGGCCCAGGACAGCACCCTGGGAAGCTGGGTACTGCCCGTTTGGCACCCATAAAGTCCACTGCCTCCCAGCGCCACACTGGCCAAACTCCCAGCCAAGACCCCAGGTCCTGTGACATGAAAGAAGTACTGTGACATGCTCCCACCCAGGAGCCCCAGGACACTGCCAGGCAGAAAAGACACCCCTGCTGCATCCACAGGTGGCTCCTGAGCTGAGTGTGGTGCAGACTCAGGGCTGAGGGCAGCACCGGGCAGCAGAGCTAGGGCTGAGGGCAGCACCAGGCAGCACCAGACTCAG